AAGAAGAGTAGAGATATGTGGAAGAGGAAGAGTGGGAGGGAAGGAGGGAAAGCTGTGCAGGGTGGAGGAGCTGTGAGAATGGGAGAAGTGGGGAGGCTGGGTGGGAAGAGGGTCCCCTCTGTCCCACGCTRAGCATGGCACACACACGCTCACACAGCTGCTGGCTGTCCCCTAGACAAGCCTGAGGTACAACGTGCAGCCCACGCAGGATGAGGTGCCCTTCATGCTTCATGTGTACACAGTCCCAGAGACGTGTGTGGACTCCACGGCTCACAAGGTCTTTGACATTGGCATCAATGTCAGGTGAGTCTGCATTCTGGTCTGAGCTTTCCTGGYGAGCTGGGGGAGGTCTGGTTGTCCCCAGGGTGAAGCAGCKTTGGGGGTGCAGCASCACATTCCTGGGAAGGAGGGCAGGAAGCAGCTGTTCCATGAGGAGAGGCTGTGGAGGAAGGAYTTGTCCTGCTGTGAGGGCAGCYCAGGGCTGGGCTGCATGGATGACATGGGGAACCTGGCACAGCTGGAGAAGGTGCTGRACTGCMAGRKCTCAGTGGGGTCCCAGTGCTCTGGAAAAGCTGGAAATGCCCYCTGCTTTGAGTTGATGTGCACTGAATCTTTGTTGCTTGTTTCCTCAGTTACGCTGGGGAGCGCAATGTCTCCAACATGGTGATTGTTGATGTGAAGATGTTGTCGGGATTCATCCCCCTGAAGTCCTCAGTGAAGAAGGTACAGTGCTGTGTGAAGCATTTCTTTGAGTATATTTGTTCTTAATCTGGGGCATCAATTTCCTTTTTTAAAGGAGCATGTGATTCTTTTCCTGGTATCTTCTCCACTCTTAAACCTGTCCACCTTTTCCTCTAGGTCTTCCACCCCTCTGCTGTGGAGGTGGGGTGAATGTGGGATGCCAGCAGCAGCATTCCTTTACCACTCCTCAAGCTCTTGTGGTAGCTTACAGTTATTCAAATACATGTTCATTTTAGCCCCAGATCAAGAGCTGGAAGGACACCATCAGGTCTGATTTCAGGGACTCAGGAGCCTTGGGAGATACATGACAGGAATGACAGTGCTGGTCCCTCATTCCATTTATGTGTCAAGAAGGTGCAAGAGCCTGCGATGGTTGGAGTTGGGGGAAGTTTAGTATGTGGGGCTTCATACAAATTRTTTCAAAATCCCCTGGAAGCACTCTTCTTGTGCTTTCCTTCTCACCATCTACATGGTGAGATGCTGGGAGAAGAAATGTAGGAAGACTGACTAACTTTCTTTCAGATCATCAGCCTCCCCATGTSTCCTTTTTCCAGCTCTCAAACACAAGGTTTCACCAGATCCAGCGAACAGAAGTGAACACAAACCATGTTTTGCTGTACATCGAGCAGGTGAGGACTAATCCAGGGCTACCGTGGGGCACACAGTGAGCTCTGCAAGGCAGTGGCAATGGCACGARATGGCCATGGAGATGGAGATGGAGATGGAGATGGAGATGGAGATGGAGATGGAGATGGAGATGGAGATGGAGATGGAGATGGAGATGGAGATGGAGATGGAGATGGAGATGGAGATGGAGATGGAGATGGAGATGGAGATGGAGATGGAGAGCCCTGCTCACCATCTACAGCCTTATAAACACAGAACATAAATAAGTCACTGACCTTGTCTGTCTCACAGGAGACAACTCTGTCCCAGCCCTGAGCAGACATTCCCTCCACCTTGCGCTCAGATCAACCCTGACCTCCCCCATAGCAGAGCCTTCCCCAGGGTGGGGAAAGCTCCCAAGGTTTTCCCCTGCTCCTCAGCCAGTCCTGCAGCCCCGTATCTGCCCAGGGCCAGGGCACAGRTGGMCRCAGAGAGTGKGGGAGCYGGGGTCAGTGYGGARGCACCAGGGAGCCCCCGCAGTGCAGAGCCCCCCTGAGCCTCTCCTGCTTCCCTTCCCCAGCTGGGCAGGGAGACCCTCAGCTTCTCCTTCACGGTGGAGCGGGACATCCTCGTGCGGGGCCTGAAGCCAGCCCAGGTGAAGGTCTATGACTACTACGAGACAGGTGAGTGCGGGGCTGGCAGCGCCCGTGGCAGCGAGGGTGGGCACTGGGACACGTGGAGGGCATGGGAGCTGTGGGRACCYGCRGCTGCCCCTGGCCTGGCATGGCCACCTCAGCCCTGCCTGAGCTCTGGGACTGCACAGGGACCTGGGGCAGAGCCGTGGGTGCTGGGGGTCCCGTGTCCATTCCTGGTCCTGGCTGTGGCTGTGCTTCCAGGCAGGCCCTGCTGCTTGTTGTGCCTCTGCTGTCCTGGCTGCTGTGCCAGGGTGGCAGTGACAGAGCTGTTTGTCCCCACTCAGCCCAGTGTGGTGGGAGAGGATTCAGTGCAGCCCTGGGTACGCTGGGGCAGTACCAGCGTACTGGAGGAGCTGCCTCCAGTACGGGGAGCTGCCTGGAGCTGGAGCTGCCTGTGTGGGGTGGCTCTGCCTTGCTGCCACTGCCCCCAGCCCAGCTGGGATTGCTGGGGGAAACTGGGGATTGGTGGCACCAGCCTGCTCTGAGGGCCTGGGAAAAGCATCTCTCTGGCACCTGTCCCTCTGCCAGCAGTGCCAAGGGTCATGACAGCTCACTGTCTCCTTTCCCTTCTGTTTTGCAGATGAGTTTGCCACACAGGAGTACAGTGCTCCCTGCACCACAGGTAGGCTACTGCTCCCTCCACTGTTCTCTACATGTTCTTCTATGTAATTTTGTCTTCCTGCCAGCACTTGTCTCTTCCTGTTTGAGTTTGGATGACATTGGCCCAACTTACAGGCACAGATCTTGCACATAGAACTAAGACCATGGGATTTACAGAGCTGGCAAGTTTGTTTTTGGTAGCCACTGCCTGAGGGAATAGCTGCTTCCTGCTCASGTTCCTGCTGCCCCAGCAGGATATGGGTCTCTCAGGAGGCAGCTGTGCCTCATGACCYGGGCAGTCAGCCTTCAGTCTTGGATTGGAGTCTGAGCTGGCAGGACAGGCAGCCACGTGTTCTTGGCTAAGGAGCACGGGTAATTTAGGAGCTTCTGTAAAAACCTCTGACCCGTCCTGTATGATGTCTTCCAATATGAAGACTGGCAGGTCTTGCTTTCCATCAGTTACTCAGTTTCAGGTGTTTGGAATATGGAGGCTTCTGGAAAGCAGAGTTCCTGGGAAGTGGTTTTTCACAGGGCCTRATTCTGGCACCTGCAAACAGAGAAGAAGTGATTTGGACTCGGGGAAGGCAAAAGCTTTGCCTGCTGCTGGTGATAAATGGTGACATTTATCTCCTTTCATGTTTTTATCTGATGTCTGGGAAGAACCTGAACTCCCACACTTTTGTTCCATACTGCTTGTTAACCTGTGTTCATTGGTACAGCTATTTTCTGCTCATTCTGGACCTACAGCTCCCCTTCRTGGAAAATATGCTTAAGTCGTAAGATATTGAGTGGACAGTAAGACATTTCCAAAGGGTATTTTTCCGTGGCCTGGTTGTGCAGAGACTCACGGGGAGGCCTTAGATTTTAGGCTACTTTTCCCCAATTCTGTTAAAAGACAGAGATTTTATCTTCGTTGGAAAGGGTGATGGGAAATTTCTACTTAAGAGGCTCATCCACTGGTGTGGATGTACAAAGGTGTCCTGAATTGACTARAAGGCAGATCTCAGTTGCCAAATTTCCTTTCCTGTCATGTATAGCAGAGCAATAGAGTGCGGTAGATTTCCTCCACTCTTTGCAGAGAAATAAATAGAGCACATCTCACCGCTACGCTGACCAGCCCTGCCTGCTGGCACTGCGCTCCTGTGTCCATCTCAGTTGTGACAAATCCCCCTCTGCTTATCTCTCCCASTGGGTCAGAGAGAATTTCAGCGCTATCTCAACCTCTCACAGCCTTGAAGGTGACAAGTATTGAGTGCTGTGGATGACCCTCCACCCTGTAAAACAGCAACTCACTCTCCTGTACTGTGCTTCACACACAACCTGACTTCCACATCCACATCTTGCTCTCTCTGTCTCTGAGAACAGGGATGAACATATCTCTCTGACTCCTGCTCCCTCCCTCTTCTTTCATCCTTATAGAGGAAGTAGACCAGGGAAATGAGTGAAGAACACTCCCAGATGCTGGAACCCGCCTGCCTTACCACCACCACCACGGCATGACAGATGAATAATGCCAGCAAGGAATGGAAAATGAACTTTACAAATAAATTAACTGTACTCACCAATGATTTTTGAACAATTTGTTCCCAATTCTGGATTTTCCTGCTCATCTTTCAGTCACAGCTTTAATGTCCCTGGTTTCTTAATTTAAAGAGAAACCCATCTAACAATTCCTGTGTGCAGGAAAATAAGGCTAACAAGTGAGGAAAAAAAAGAGGACATAATGATTTCAGTGGGGGTCAGCCTTTCTAATGTATCTCTCTCTGTGTTATGTTCTCTGAATTAATCATCTGAGATGCAGTCTAACCAATGGAGAAGGACAGGTACTTCTTGGGAACAATTTCCCTCCCCTGGCTTACAAACCATAACCTCRATTGAATTGGTCTCTGCAGAGACCTATCCATGTCTCCCACCAACAGGCAGCCTGGAAGATCAATTAATGTTAATGAATTTCAGCCCCTGTGATCTTCCCTGCACACACCCTCCAGGGTTTGCTCCTCATTGGTAGAAGAATGGGAGGAGACACAATCTGCCCTCTTKCTAAGATTAGAGAGTGTCTGGGGAGCAGAAGGGATGGGTCCATGCRTTCTGCCTTCAGCTGCTGATTTACAGTGGCTTGTTCTCCTGCTGAAGCTTGGGCCTTCTTGTGGAAGCTTCCATTCTCTTGTGCCTGCTGCTTCTGGGAGATTCCCAGGGAGAAGCTAATGGCATTTGCCAGTAACCTACCTGCCTAAGTCCAGTTTAAATGGTGCATTCATTTAAATCATGCAGTTGCTCTGATGAAACTGTCTATAGGCCTCTTGGATGTCTCCAGGAATGATCCCCTTTTCTTGGTTTTGTCTCATGAATTTCTAGTTTTAACATTTGAATGCAAAAAGATCTTATGTGACTGTTTATTCTCATGAAATGCTTATTGTTAGGTATCATGACATATTGTGCATCCCAAGTWTGCACAGCTAGCTGTTCCATCCAATTTTTGCTTTAGTGTGCCTGTACAAACAGTGTTATTGAGAACAAATAAAATTCTTCATCTATTTTGCTAGATATTAATATTATGTCACTTTGTCTTCTGTGGTGTTTGGGGTTTACACACTCAAGACCTTTTGATACCTCTTATTCAGAGGACTCTATGGAATGATCCAGCTTCAGTGACAGCTGAGCAAAATTTCTAATACAGCTACATTGCATTTTGTCTTGATTTAGAAATWATACAACTATCTATTTTTTCTGCCATGAAGCAATTACTTCTCCAGAGAAGGAAGAGTCCGTATTTGTGACAGAAGCTACACGAGGGACTCCTATAGGTGTGTTTGCTTTAGCTWACGTTGGCAGGGTGAAAGCAACTCTGCACACAGAAACATGGAAATAAAACACACACCTCTTGAACTGAGGTTGAAAACCTCTGCATCCCTATGAGAGATCTAGACCAGAGAAAATATGATCATTTGGAAAATTTGCATGAAAAACATTTAACCCAAACTGCAAGATGGGAATCCAGGTCCTCCCCACTGAAATCTGCTGAAGCATTTTAAGCCCAGCTGTGATGGAGAAAAAAAAAAGTATTGAAAATTGCTCAACAAACCCAGGAGATCTACAGACCTCCACTAAGGGTAAGAGGATAAAGTTCTCATGAAAAATGGAAAGGGTTTGGCTAATAAAGTGGTTCTTGGTTGAAATTCTGACTAAGATTATCTTGACTGTCATCACGTGCCACATACAGGAGAACCAGGTGATCATTTCCAGCTAGCACAGGTTTAGGAAAGGCAGGTTCTGCTTCACCAGCCTAATCTCCTTCTACAGAGAGGTTAGCCACCCAGTGGGTTCTGGGAAAGGCTGTGGTAGTAGTCTTAGAGATTTCAGTATAGCATTTGACACAGGTTCCCACAGCATTYTCCTGGAAAAACTGTCCATTGTGTTGACAGGTGCACCACCTTGCCATGGATGGCTCTGAATTGAAATCTCAGGCCATGACAGTCTGAACCAGGGACAGGACTGGAGACAAGAGTAACAGTAACAGAAAAGACCAGAGACATCTGATGAGAATCAGGACTTAATTTATTTATAGTGTTGCTTCCTTTCTGCTTTTGAGRTGTCCTCCTCTAGCATTTCAGTACCTTCCCCTTAAGATCTTCTAAGGGCAGAGACACAAAAGCTGATAARGCAAGGCTTTGACAAGATGCATTCTTCAGGAATTTCCTTGTTCAGCCGGCACTGTAGGTGRGAAAAGAATAGAGTGAGATAAATATCCTTGTGAGTGGTGTCCAAAGCTCTGGATATCCCCATGTTCTGGTGGCTATGTGAGCTCAAGACCTGTTAAACTATGAGAAACTGCTTCACCTAAAAATGCCCAGCTGCAGACAGATAACAGAATAGGAATGGCTGGACACATTCAAAATATCTATGCCACAGAGAGGRGAGGCAGATCTCTCCTGGGCATAGGTGAGCTATCGTAGTACACATTCTCTGTCAGCAACTGGATTTCCCACAGGAAAGCAAAAAATAAYCCGGGAAACAGTTTGAAAGGTCCTCATTAAAGAGACAACGTAAGTGAATAACATCAGCATTTCACCAAGATACTTGGCAGACAATTCCTCAGTACCTTTCAGTGTCTGCAGCATAGCAGAYGTGGCCCTAAAAAGGGCAGAGACACAAAAGGCTGAGTGTGATGTTCCATACCAAGGGAGACTTAAATCTTATTTGCATAAAGTGACACAAACACGGAGGAAAAAACAATTGCTACTGTACAAATGAAGGCAGTAATACTGAGATTGCTATTCTCAGTGAGCAAAAATGAAATCTTACACAGGAAGTTGGGTGGCAGCATTGCTTTTGATCTCTGTACTGAGATGGGAACTGCAGTAGGCACAGTGAAGATAAATGCTGAGAGTAGATACCCATCAAGGAAACATAAACTCTACAAAGACTAATTCAAGACAGCTCCCTGCTGGAGCATCTCAGTTGTTTGTGCRCACCTACCTGTGGTGCAGGGAGCACTGTACTCCTGTGTGGCAAAYTCATCTGCAAAACAGAAGGGAAGGGAGACAGTGAGCTGTCATGACCCCTGGCACTGCTGGCAGAGGGACAGGTGCCAGAGAGATGCTTTTCCCAGGCCCTCAGAGCAGGCTGGTGCCACCAATCCCCAGTTTCCCCCAGCRATCCCAGCTGGGCTGGGGGCAGTGGCAGCAAGGCAGAGCCACCCCGCACAGGCAGCTCCAGCAGCTCCAGCTCCAGGCAGCTCCCYGTACTGGAGGCAGCTCCTCCAGTACGCTGGTACTGCCCCAGCGTACCCAGGGCTGCTCTGAATCCTCCTCCCACCACACTGGGCTGAGTGGGGACAAACAGCTCTGTCACTGCCACCCTGGCACAGCAGCCAGGACAGCAGAGGCACAAMGAGCAGCAGGGCCTGCCTGGAAGCACAGGCAYGGCCACAGCCAGGACCAGGAAYGGACACGGGACCCCCAGCACCCACGGCTCTGCCCCAGGTCCCTGTGCAGTCCCAGAGCTCAGGCAGGGCTGAGGTGGCCATGCCAGGCCAGGGGCAGCTGCAGGTCCCCACAGCTCCCATGCCCTCCACGTGTCCCAGTGCCCACCCTCGCTGCCACGGGCGCTGCCAGCCCCRCACTCACCTGTCTCGTAGTAGTCATAGACCTTCACCTGGGCTGGCTTCAGGCCCCGCACGAGGATGTCCCGCTCCACCGTGAAGGAGAAGCTGAGGGTCTCCCTGCCCAGCTGGGGAAGGGAAGCAGGAGAGGCTCAGRRGGGCTCTGCACTGCGGGGGCTCCCYGGTGCYTCCRCACTGACCCCRGCTCCCACACTCTCTGYGKCCACCTGTRCCCTGGCCCTGGGCAGATACGGGGCTGCAGGACTGGCTGAGGAGCAGGGGAAAACCTTGGGAGCTTTCCCCACCCTGGGGAAGGGTCTSCTATGGGRGRGGTCAGGGTTGATCTGAGCGCAGGGTGGAGGGAATGCCTGCTCAGGGCTGGGAAGGAAGGMGCAGTAAGTCTAAAAACAAGAGTTTGTAGTTAGAAGACAGCAAAGTATTTAGTTCCATTCTTATCAGAGCCATGGTAGTTTTGAGTCCCAGATTTTTTGCCCTATGCTGCCAAAAGTCCCAATGTCTGTGTTTCTGCCCCATCCTCACCTTTTCCAGGTATAGTAGAACGTGATTCGTATTCAGCTCTGTGCGCTCAATAACATGGTGGCGTTCCAGCTGAAGAAAGAAGACCAAGATGTTACTGCACTGATGGCAGTCTCCCTGTGCCCCTTGCACAGCCCTATGGGTGGGATGCACTCTGGATGAAACACTGCAGTCATCAGGGAAGTAAGCCAGAAGCACAGAACTGCCTCCTCGGTGTGCCACCCAAGTATCGTGGTGTCCAGCCCTCCCCTTCACCAGCCTGGCTGAAGAAGTACAACCTGGATCCAGAAGAGACTCAGCTCTGGTTCAGGCACAGTGATGAAACAATTAAATGAAAATACATTCCTTCTTGCTTGCTAGTTCTGCACCATATTATTATAGCCTTTATTTTCCAGTTCATGCACCTAATKCAGCATCTTAAAGAGTTATCCAACACCTAAAGAGTCACAATGCTAWGAGATGATTTTTAGATCAGCAGAGGGAAAAAGGAAACAGCACTATTTTGGAAAATATTCTGTACAGACATTGTTTATGGGGAGCTGTTGGGACACAGTGAAAATGAAAGTGTCCATTACCAGTTTAAAGAAAAAATTAGTCTCTTCTTCCTAGACTGGTCACATTGTCTCTCCTTGTGCTGGCTTGAAGMCATATATGAAAAGGAACAATGTACATGTCAAATGTGCAAATGACAGTGACAAAACCAAGCAGAAGCTTTGTCATTTGTTAAAGACATTTGAAAGGTGTTTTGAAAAGAAGAAAGTGGATGTTTTCCCTCTGTATTTTGCAGTGGTGAGGCTGCACACTGAATTCTGCATTCAGCTTTGGAACCCTCACTTCAGTCGTTGAGGTACTGGAGTGGCTGCAAAGAAAGGCAATGATCCTGGGAAAGGGAATGGAATGTAAGTCTTATGAGGAGCAGTTGAGGGTACTGGGATTGTTTAGTCTGAACAAAAGGAGGCTCAGGGGAGCCTCATTACTCTACAGCTCCCTGAAAGGAAGTTGTAACGAGGGCACAGGTCAGCCTCTCCTCCCAGGCAGCTAGTAATAGAACTAGAGGAAACGTCCTCAAATTGTGGCAGGGAAGATTCATGTTGGATATTAGGAGAAATTGCTTCACTGATAGAGTGGTTAAGCATTGGAACAGGGTTTGTAGAAAAGTGGTGAAGTCACTATATTTGCAAACATTCAGAAAAAATAGTAGACTGGGCACTTTGCAATATGGCAGTAAGTAGATATGGTGGCATTTAGGCAAAGTTTAGACATAGAGATCTTTTTTAAATTTAATGATTCCATGATTCGCCATTGCCTGTATAACAAAYGGGTTCCTACCTTCCTCACTGAGGACTTCAGGGGGATGAATCCCGACARCATCTTCACATCAACAATCACCATGTTGGAGACATTGCGCTCCCCAGYGTAACTGAGGAAACAAGCAACAAAGATTCAGTGCACATCAACTCAAAGCAGAGGGCATTTCCAGCTTTTCCAGAGCACTGGGACCCCACTGAGCCCTGGCAGTTCAGCACCTTCTCCAGCTGTGCCAGGTTCCCCATGTCATCCATGCAGCCCAGCCCTGAGCTGCCCTCACAGCAGGACAAGTCCTTCCTCCACAGCCTCTCCTCATGGAACAGCTGCTTCCTGCCCTCCTTCCCAGGAATGTGCTGCTGCACCCCCAAAGCTGCTTCACCCTGGGGACAACCAGACCTCCCCCAGCTCGCCAGGAAAGCTCAGACCAGAATGCAGACTCACCTGACATTGATGCCAATGTCAAAGACCTTGTGAGCCGTGGAGTCCACACACGTCTCTGGGACTGTGTACACATGAAGCGTGAAGGGCGCCTCATCCTGCGTGGGCTGCACGTTGTACCTCAGGCTTGTCTAGGGGACAGCCAGCAGCTGTGTGAGCGTGTGTGTGCCATGCTCAGCGTGGGACAGAGGGGACCCTCTTCCCACCCAGCCTCCCCACTTCTCCCATTCTCACAGCTCCTCCACCCTGCACAGCTTTCCCTCCTTCCCTCCCACTCTTCCTCTTCCACATATCTCTACTCTTCTTRTTCTCTTCCCTTTACGCAGAGCCTTCCCTYCCACTTCTCCCCTCTCTCCTGTTCTTTGCTCTCCTGTCCCTCARTGGAAGGACTCAATGACCTTTAGGGTCTTTTCCAACCYSCRTGATTCCATGATCCTGTCCTCTCCCTGGCCCTGCCTGGCAAGGGGCTCCCCTCCCAGGATGCCAGCTGTCCCCATYGCCCTCACCTGCAGGTAGACACATCCTTCCCCAGACACCTCCACGCTGTAGTCCSCTGGCACCTGGGGAAGGGGYAGGCGCTGGAGCAGCAGCCGGTTGSTGGGATCCACTTGGAAGTCCTGCTGGAAGCCCCCTGCAGATCGCAGGGCCACGTTRGAAGCTGCCCCGCTCTTGGCATAGGTGACAGCTCCATACAGGGACAAGGCTTGGAGAGCCACCACGGTGTCCTGAAAGAGATGAGTCCCAGCACTCAGGGGATGCAATTAGCCTTTCCACAGCCTGCCCTCCTGCAGCCTGCCCTTTCTGGCAGCAGCCCCCTCCCCTCCATCCTGCACTTTCTCCAGAAAAGACAGAGGCAAAGAGCAGCCTCAGCACATTTCCCTTCCCAGAGGCACCACCCGACACACTCGCCTGTAGCCTCTCGGACACTTAGCTACCATGGTAAGCACTGCATGGATCCATTGCAGGGCTATAGTTCCCACCTTCCTCTCAAACTTTCCCGTGCTCCCACCAGGCTCCCTGACACGTCCCATCTTGTGATGCTGRTGTGTGAGGTGGCAGAGGGAAGCAGCTCACCTGGGTGGAGGAGAAGCCTCCATTAGGATTCTGCTGGCTGCTGATCCACTTTGCAATCAGGGCTGCAAATGACAGCTCGTCCTGGGCAGGGGCCGGCTGCGACGTGAGGTGAGCCAGGAGCACGTAGGCCGTCATCTCCACCTCGGCAGAGGGAGCTCGGTGGCGATAGTACGGGAGATCGGCCTCGGGCTCCTTGCCAGGCCGCTGCCAGTGCACAGAGCCATCTGCACACCAGGCAGGGACACAACAAACAAGCAGCTGTTACTAGTAAATCTTGCAAGGGACTTCCTGACCTGCTGCCTACCCCAGCTGGGAGGACGCAGCCTCCAGGATGTGTCTGTCCTGCAGGGTGATGTGGGAAGGGTCAGCTTTACACATTTCACAGGTTTACAGTGAGTATGAGACTGCTGAGCCTCAGGCCTAGACACCACTCTGTCCTAGACTCCACATTCCCATGGACATTTATGGGCTTGGGCACCCCAGGGAACCTCATCAGGGATGCCATTCCTTGCTTTTGTGAGTAGAGACGCTGGGATCAGGCAGTGACAAGCTCTGTGAGGCAAAATGGCCCAAAGAATGTGACCAAGGTTTGACACCTGACTCCTGCAGGTGAAGAAGGCAAAAGGTGGGGATATAATCCCTTCACAGCTCCACTATCCACTGCTTGGGCAAACCCAGTGTCCAGCCCGACTCAAAAAGATCAGTTCCAAGGAATTACAGGATTTTCCCTGAAAACTCAGAATTTGTGTTGTGGCCTCCAAAGTGCCCTGAGTGCTCATTTTCT